GAATTAATCAACCAGTACTTCAAGTCGGTTTCATTGGGAACCGTACGGGTTCATTATAATGGGAACCCCTCTCCGCTTCCGTAAATCCTTTTTTGGGCAACCATGCCCATGGAATTTCTCTTGTTTGTGGATTCTCGCTCCATGAACAAAAAAGCTTGGGGGAAAATATCGATGCTTGTTAGCGATTCTTATTCAAGGACGAGGGCTTCCTGTTTTACGACAAGCAATCGCAAGATCATGACATTCATAAAATATTCCGACCCCGGAAGCAGGAAAAAAACTGTCAAAAACTTACTTAAAATTCGTACATTTTTCTCCTGCCGTTGACAACAGTTAGAGCAGAGGTACTCATGCAGTATTTCCAAAAACCCACGAATCAAAAGCACACACTCAAGCTGCCATTTTCGAAATAGGAAAACAAATGATCAACAGTGAGCACTTTCCTGAGTACCTTCCCTTACCTTATTTTTTGAACCCACCTTTAAATAAAATTTGCGTTATTATTCGTCGACACGCTATTTGCAAAAATGATTTCTTTGAAAAAAGTCGATGGCCAACATACTTTTGCCTCTTGTTATTAGATTTGGCAGAAGTGAATCCATTATTGCGGTCTACGCATTAATTTGCTTGTCGAGGAGTTCACACGCCTTTAATTATCTTACATTTTTGTGAGATAATCAATTGTAAGATAAATAATGGAATACCGTAAGTGGTAAAGGCAGACCATTGCAGCAGAAGGTTTCGTTATTTGCCATAATACTTACGATTTCCACATCTAAAAGTCAAATCAATGGTTGTTTTTCGTTTGAATTCTTCAATAATTTTAATTTTTCAATGCAAGGCCAGGATTTTGGAAAAATTACTTTCAATTTCAAAGTACTGCACACACCATCTGGGTGATTTCACATTTTCTTTTGCTTGGGGAAAAATGTGCAACAAAATCAGGTTCCATGCGCAAGTTATTTATGGAATATTTGTTTAGCTCTACTAATTTGGCCAGAAAACAGTGACCAGACTGTCCGAATCTCTTGTAACTCAATTCGAATACAAGTTTAGCGAAGAGATGTAATCGTCGGTTTAAAATTTAAATGAAAAGTCACCAAATCAATTATTAAAGGTACACCAACGTCGCCAAGTGTTTTTAAATTGGCGGATAATAATTTTAATACTGTAATTATACTCCATGCGGGAAATTATTTATGCCAAATAATTAGTTTTTCGCATTCCAGCCATTACTAAATTGATTTGAGTTTTTTTGATCAACTGATCTAAAGCTAGTTTTTTATTTTTAGTAATGAGCCCCCTTTTGACCTATTTTAATCTTTTCCTCGGCTGTTGCACCAGAACAAGGACATGTTCATTTTCCACGAAGTACCTCGAGGACAAAAATGTTAACGTAGAATAAGTGCAGGAAATGTTTTCTTGAATAGACCTCATGTCCCAACCTTGAACAAGTTTCAATCTATACAGTTCCTCGTTAAATATAAAATACATTATTTAAAAAAAACCGGTACGGAGAGAATAACGGGATACAAGTGCCAATTCCACAGCCAAGATTTTTCACAAAGAGTCGCAGAAGGAAAAGAATACACGGGTTTATATTTATATACTGTATTTTAGATGCAGAATGAGAGGCGATATATTTCTTGAGGCCCCGAAGGACAACGCCGGCTTCCTTCCATCCATCCATCTGCGCCCACGAAATCACCGTGATTATGCCTCAACAGATACCAACTCGACTTGATTGATTCTTTCCCACTTCAGAAGTACCATCACGTCAGGGAGAAACGAAATCGAATGAATAATAAAATGAGAGGCTCACCACGTATCATGCAAAATTACACACCTCGGTGGGGACTGGAATATAGCGGCTTTGCCTGCGCGAGAGACGCGTCTATCGAGCATCGGCGAAATTATACACTTGGGTTCTATATCTGCGGACCATTTATTCGATTCCTATGAAATGTCGACTTGAACAGGCTTTAGAAGAAAAGTTCTGGATGTTCTCTGTTTCAACATCCTTTCCAAATGTTATTGTCTGCTTTTTTATGTTTTGAGAACATAAAATGTAGTAGATTAAAAAATTAATCTAAAAAACCACGTTTTCAAAAAGCAAAAAATAATGGAAGTGAGCAAAATTTGAGTTGCAAAATTTGATCCTGACAAACAAACGGACAAGAAAGCGAGTTAATAAAAACGTGTTAAAATTAGCCCAGCTAAGAGCTTTGAAAAAGAACCCGGGTTGTCCAAAATCGGGCATAGTTAAATATTTCCACTGTTGGAGAAATTTCATAAAAGAAAATTACTTCAATACCCAGATGATGTTTTCGGACCGTTACACTTCAAGACTTAACCAGATTTTCAAGACTTTTTCTCGGTACACTGCGTGATGAGAAAAGAAAAATTTCCCCTTTAGTCCAGAATTTTCCACTGATTTCAGTGTCCTAGAAATTTGAAAAAAATGATTAAAAATTGAAATTTTATTTTTGAGTTGCATATCATCTTCTTCACATTTTATGAAACTTCCGACATTTTTTGACAATGAGCTTTTTTTTTACGAAATATAAAAATTCGTGGTGCAATGGCAAGGGGCTCTTGGTTGCAACACGTGGCCTTCGAACAGCCCTTTTACATACACATTTAAGCGACACCTATGCGATGAGAAGGAAAATATTGCAGAGACATGGACATGAGTAACATCTACTAATTACTACTAATGACTACTAATGGAGGGGAATAAATACCCATTCGTGAATTTAATTCAACTTCACCCTCAGTACATGCTTCTCTTGAATAAAATTTATCTTGAACACCACAATTTACGTGGTTCAAAGAAAAAGCGGCAGCTTATAAAATCGCAATTGTAATTTTTCACCACACCCAAAAGCTTGAATTTAGTCTTTGACTCGGAAGAAAATCAGAGAAAAACCTTTTTTAATTCCACCATTATTAAATGGTGGCGCATCAACGTCCAGTTAAGTTCAAAGAAAAAATTAGATAATAATTTATACACGGCAATAATATTCACTCACATACAAAATAATTTGCATTCCACAGTAATTATATCTTCCAAAGAACCAGCTGTTCTCAGTACGCGGACTCGAATCGCACGACAGCTTCGGAATTCAGACCAAAGGATTCGATTCCATCATCACATGAACATGTCTCTCGCATTCCAGGAAATTTTCCGAATTGTTGAACCAAGACCTGAGAGCGTTTTCATTCCGTAAAATCTCTGGGAAAGCAGCTTTCCAAGAGAAAAAAGAATGATATTTCATTACATACACGATAAAAATGGGCCTGGTTCCATTTCCGTACATGAGTGTGGGACGAAAGAGAAGTTCTTTTGAAAAGGAAAACAATCGAGGTTAACGCGAGAAACCGAGTCCGCCGACCCGTGACAGAAAATACCACACCCATGAATCTCATCAAGTTGATGAGACTCCCTTGGAATTCATTGACACTGACATTCACTCATCGGACATGATTCTGCGCGTTCATCTAATCGTTACGAATTGCACTTGGTTCTCAGGCAGACATCTTACTTCACAAGACAATTAAGCAGTTATTTCGGCGCATTTTATTTCCTCATCTCGGCAGGGTTTCAGGAAACTCTCTCCTTCGAAGAAATATCAAAATTGTAAAAAGAAAGTCCTAATTTTCTGAAGACTTCCCCTGCTTAAAATAAATTTTGAAAACAGGCCTGACTGAATATAAATTGCCATTGAAAAGATGCTCGTTGACGTATACAAAAAAAAACGATGACTTGAACCATACATAATTTATTGCTGGGAAAAGGATCAGCAGGGACTGAAGAACCCCGCAGCAAACAACAGCGCATCAATGGTCAAATGTAACCTTTCTCGAGGTACAGTTATTTCAGAAGAAAAACCTCTCCGTCACTNAAAGAAAAAATTAGATAATAATTTATACACGGCAATAATATTCACTCACATACAAAATAATTTGCATTCCACAGTAATTATATCTTCCAAAGAACCAGCTGTTCTCAGTACGCGGACTCGAATCGCACGACAGCTTCGGAATTCAGACCGAAGGATTCGATTCCATCATCACATGAACATGTCTCTCGCATTCCAGGAAATTTTCCGAATTGTTGAACCAAGACCTGAGAGCGTTTTCATTCCGTAAAATTTCTGGGAAAACAGCTTTCCAAGAGAAAAAAGAATGATATTTTATTACATACACGATAAAAATTGGCCTGGTTCCATTTCCGTACATGAGTGTGGGACGAAAGAGAAGTTCTTTTGAAAAGGAAAACAATCGAGGTTAACGCGAGAAACCGAGTCCGCCGACCCGTGACAGAAAATACCACACCCATGAATCTCATCAAGTACTCCCTTGGAATTCATTGACACTGACATTCACTCATCGGACATGATTCTGCGCGTTCATCTAATCGTTCTCAGGCAGACATCTTACTTCACAAGAACATTAAGCAGTTATTTCGATGAATTTTATTTCCTCATCTCCACAGGGCTTCAGGAAACTCTCTCCTTCGAAGAAATATCAAAATTGTAAAAAGAAAGTCCTAATTTTCTGAAGACTTTCCCCGGAATTCCCCTGCTTAAAATAAATTTTGAAACCAGGCCTGACTGAATATAAATTGCCATTAAAAAGGTGCTCGTTGACGTATACAAAAAACAAAAAAACCAGATGACTTGAACCATAAATAATTTATTGCTGGGAAAAGGATCAGCAGGGACTGAAGAACCCCGCAGCAAACAACAGCGCATCAATGGTCAAATGTAACCTTTCTCGAGGTACAGTTATTTCAGAAGAAAAACCTCTCCGTCACTCCGTCAATTGCGAGACCGTGATGGTAATTCGATTATTCGGACATGATGAATCATAACTGTACTCACATTCACTGCATGACTAGGCAAAACAGCTTCCACGTCCCGAAACCCGCAGTTCCTCATGCTGGCGGACAAATCCAGGCACATCACTCAATCTGGTAACAAAAATGTAAACCTTTGTTACGACAAAAATCCGATTGATTGCTGATAACATTCTCCATTAATGTCTTCTTCGGGAGTAAAAAATTCATTTATAATTTCCTTTGAAGCATCAACTAACTGTAGAACAGCAAATAAAAATCATGAAAAAATTTTGAACAAGTAAGATATCACTTCGAGGGGTGCGCGACCCACGTCAACGACGCTCGCACTCAGCATTCGAATCAACATTTCTAACTACCATACGGATGTTCTGAATATTTGCCGCAGCACTTTCCTCTTGATTAGACGCTGGGCCAGCGAGCCAAGTTGAACCGGTTTTCGTGGATGTCCATGAAGACGTCGTCGTGAGTGTAAATGTCCTGCATCTCGTCGGAACGCGGAAATGACGGATGCTGAACTGCTGCGACCAACCGCGTTCAACAGCAAATTTCTTCAGGTTGCGAAGAGTTTGTGGTCGACAAATGAACACAGTGAAGACCAAGACACCCGTCAGAGCATTGACAATGTCGGTCACCAGCCAAATATCACTCGGTCCGAAGCCCCAGCTCACTACTTCTATCAACCAGCCAACTCCCATGACAACGAACAAGCGGGTGAACAAACGGAACCTGCCAAAAGTGATTCACCGTTAAAAAAAAAAAAAAAAAAAAAGAATTCTGCTCCTACAAATCATCACATACATTGACATTTGTTTCTTGCTCATGTTCAGCATCCGAGTGCTATGCCGGTGCTTCAGCAGGAAAATCATGGTGAAAATGAAGAACACAAGATTGGCCACAAGAATCAAGCATATCGGTCCATACATGAAAAGCCAGATGCTTTCGTTATCTGGAACAGGAGAATGAAAGCATTTCAACCCAAAAAAGCACACGCCTCAAAAACAATTAATGAAATTACAGTAGTTTCAAAAGAAATGGGCCCAATGTCATTATCGCATAATCTCATCAACCACTGTGCTTGGTGCGCACGGAGCATAAACGAAGCTTTCTGGAGAAAATATCAACTGATTTTGTATATTATAATCGTACGTACCCACGGCGATCGAATTTCCTTTCTGTTTCAGACAAAAGCATTACCGTTCATGACTATGGCGATCATTGAATGGGTGCATCAACCATGCTTCATTATATTGCCAACAGCTTAAGGTAGACTAAGTTCGGCAGATGGATTTCCCCACTGAATCAAGCTCTATATTAATTAACCGAGGTAACAAGCAATGCACAGCATATCACTTTTGTGAATCTTCAACTTTTTCTGTACGCATGTTTCATCAAGGAATGGAAGTCCAGTGAAGTACGTATGTACAAGCAACATGACTCACTCCGAAACCAGCAACGTTTCTCCGGGTCAATCGGATATTTGGCGAATGAATCTGGCAAACCTGGCACGTATTCCAGAATCAAGATCACGACGACAATCACAGCAGGGATTCCGAAAGAATAAGCGCACCGCTTGAGGTATCTGTACAACAGCTTCCTTCTCGTCATCGGCATACTCCGCCTTGACAATCCCACACACAAACACGAATATAAAACGAACATCGATAATAATCCAATGGCACATTTGAAAATGACTCACCTCAAATACCAGAAAAAATTCTCGTACCACACATCAAAGCTCATCACGTTCAGCCACAAGAATGAGGACAGTATTGTGAAGTGCTGCGCAATGGCTATATAGAAAACAAAAAAGGTATTGTATTTTCAACTCTCAATGATCATCAAATTCTAACGCGAAGGAATTTTTCTACAGCATGAAGTTCAACAAATCACATTTTTCCTAATTTTTTTTCAGTTTTCCTCACACTTAGGGGAAGAAAAATATATTTACTGCAGAAAATTCCTTATTCTGCCCGAGTATGTTGATGTGTTCAAGAATAATGACACACCGAGTCATGACACGAGTGAACTATTTTCCCTTGAAATGAAAGAAGTCCCACTCTGATAACTTATCAAGGTAGTCACAGACCGCTCAATGAGCCAACACATCTTAATTGAAAAGTGACTTACCAATACCAATGCAAACACCCCGATCCATCAGGTCTCGCTCCAAGAAAATCACGATCAGGAATATCGAGGCAGCCAACATGCAAACCACGTAACTCAACATGGTCCATGTTCCAAGCCAATTCACGTCCGGAAGCATCAACGTGATTCCCAAAGTAACCAGCAAAAAAATCTGCAAGTCGAATCAAGGATGTATTTTCAGCTATAGATCCCACGCAATGGTCTGGTACGTGTCGCCTGAATCCCTAGCCGAGTCATATTCCACCGGGTGCCCACTGAAGAAGCACCCTAATCAAACAGTATTCGGTGTGCAACAAGAGCGGCAAGATTCAAATGATGACTGCAAAACTCGTACTAATTTCACTATGGCCCGGAACACTTTGTTTAGACTCACCGAAGAAATAACCAGACATCCCGTGTAAATCTTCTTGTACTCGAACAGCTTGCTTTCATCCGGAAAACAGACCAGAGTCACATTCGTGACCACTTTTTCATTCGTCGTCGTATTAGTCATGATAACGTGATCCATGCAGTAGTCGGGCGGCGAAAAATATTTCGCATACGATTTTGAGTAAATCTGACCAGACTTCAACAGATAAACAGCTTCTTCGTGAGATGAATCCGGGTACAGGGGCAGACTCATTGTCTTGCCGCAATCTTGTGGCACATCCACCACTTTGTACTTGTCCTCGGATACAGCTACCTGTAACAGTCATATACATCAGAATATACATTGCGGAAGTACAGTGCAGTATAAAAAACAGTAACAAAAATTTCGCATATTACAAATTTCAGTTGAAAAAAAGTGGCACGTGAAGGTACTAATTTTACATGACCCAATGTTTCACTTTGAAACGCTTTAATGTTATTGTATAACGAATTTAAGCTTTGGATTTCTTTGAAAAAAATTAGGTGAAAATTAAATACTTTTTCAGAATCTTGTCTCGTATCATTTGTGTAATTCATGACTAATACGACGAAGTCAAGGTCAATAAGTTGTGAAAATCACTGCACTGTACTTCAATTTCCTCACAAATGATTTAAAACACATAAAGGTGAACTGAAACATATTTTAAAATCGAGGATCTTCTGGTGAGTGTCCAGAAAAATTTACTGCGATAAATTAAAAAAATGAAACCTGGAGGAAAAATGCTTGTCGAATTGATAAACTTTTTCAAAACGAAACACACTCAGGAATGAATTAGTTTCGTCACGCGGGGACCCACTACTGTACATTAATTTATCCATAGAACGTTCAGATGATGGACTAACAAAAACAACAACGGAGTGATTTAACCCATTAACTTAAGCAACATAAATGTCACTGGGGAAAATAGGATACCCATGATGGCATGCTGTTACGAAATGATTCCCAATAAATTATTGAAAAATAAAAGAACAGACCTTCTTGAACTGATCATTGTAGAAAACAGGCACCCACGGAGCCTGTCCCTCGGGCAAAGCAGCACAGCCAACCTCGTGTTCTTCAATCTGCAGCCACTGTCCCTCGGGACAACACTTCAGGGCACACAGGGTTCCATCTCTGCAGTACGCATTATACGCGTCCAAGCGTCCACCCAAAGCACTCAAACACACAATGGCTAGAGTTCCCATAGCATCTTCCTGTTGCTGCTGCTCAACACTTTCCAGACAATAGTGATCAGTGCTGAAAACTGCAGGTTTATGCGGGAAATACAGTCTCGAGTCCTCAAGTACGTAAAATGGCTTCGCTCCGTAGAAAACTGGACGGATTTCCGGACACGTTTGTGCCAGAATTTCACCTGCTCCAGGTTTGATAGTGGCTTTCAGACCCGTGTCTGATCCATCCTTCGAATTTGTTACAGGAAATACGAGTCTGTTGCCACCCGAAGGAATGCAGTTCATCTCAGAGTTGAACATCTGTAACGCAAAATCAAAGAAAACTAAAATTTATGTATTTTCCTCTGGTTTGTAACGCAACGATACCGAAGCTAAATGCTCACAAACTGACAATCTCGCTCTCGCATTACAACACTTCCGGCAAAAGATTGTGACTATCAATTTTGACATCTTATATTTGCTCGAGGACGGCGCAATGCAAATAAATTAATTAATGAATAATTAACCTGGTTCTCAGGGCAACATTTTGGAATCATGGTTCGTCCCCCATGTTTTCTTTCAGTCAGCATCGGAGGTGACAACCAAGCCTTGGAAGCACACACAGCTGCACCACGGGAACTATTGGCGAATTCGTCAACACAAAACGAACTGGGTTCGAAAAATTGACCATCACTGCTCGTGATGAGCCTGCCATCTGTGAACACGGCGAGTTTCTCCAGCTTAGGACCTTCGCCTTCATTGACAATCACCCTTTGAATAAAAAAAACACAGGTTGAATCCGGAGATTCGAGACACATGTACAGCAAAATTGAGGGGACGAAGTTAGATCGTTTCCCACAGTACGACAGTGACACCTAGCATAACAATTTCGTATTATACGTGATAAAACGTCGGCGGAGCCTACAGGGGCAACACAGAAATAACCTCACAAGCCTTAAATTTATAAAGCTAATGATTTTGTAACACACATACTGCAATCCGTCGCACTCAGGAATGCCGTGTAAGACTTGAAAATCCCCTGGGGGATCCGATCGCAGAACATTTCCATATTGGTCGAATTCCGCCAATTTTCCCAACCACGATTCGGTCGTTTGACGAGAAGCAGATCCAGTAATTTTTGGCGAACAGACGATCGTTGAGTTGGCATCCGATGCGATTTCTCCAAACTGGCAACACTTCCTGATCCCAAGCTTTTCCAACAGTACTTCAGAACCGGTTACGTTGGCTTCCTCTTTAAGATGGTTCCCAGTGAGGGTTGAAGAATTACTCCAAGATTTGATGTTTAATCCGGAAGAATTAGACAATACATCCATTGCTTCGGACCGGTTCAGGGCATCTGAAACTAATCCCACAGGGAAATTAAAAAAAAATTACGCTTCAGGTCAAAATTACTCGGCCTTCATTCTCCGGAAATGCAAACAAGCCACGGTACGAAATTAGCCCTGAAAAGAACAACTATTTTTACATTTTATACAATGAAGATTCATGGACTCTTTCAAAAGTTTCCTTCGAATCGATTTCCAAAATACTGTACAGTAGTGAGAGAAAAAGACAAGGAAGGAGTATTATTGTACCTCAGGGTGGTTGGTAATTGAATGATTTTTCTTGGAAAAAGTCCTCCCACCACCAGATTTACTTATTACGGATATCAATCACCTTGAATGACAAAATGGAGCAGCTCATCTACAGCGGAGGTTGACGACAAATGTGTATTTGCGGAGCTTCTGTTAGACGTCAATGTCCTCTAAGTAGCATTCAAAGAAGATCCATTTAATTTTTCATGCACTGACTGGATCAATGACTGGATTCTGAGAAATACTAACTTGAGCACGAGTAATAGATTCATTTGCAGCAGATTCATTTCGAGGAGCTGAAGGAATCTCAAGCAAAAATGCAGTGGAATTCAAACCAGGAGGGTTCACAGAATCATGTTGAAGCGTAGCGTTGGATGACGCATTCTCAATTTCATCCGTTAAATTTGACACATTTCCGAATTTCTGTTTCTCTTCGTCAAGTCTGATTTCCTTCCGAGACACTTCAGGGGAATCACCAGTCAAGCTAGCGTTGGTGTTGGTTTGATTAGAAATTTCGATAATTGAGTCAACTGAAGCGTTGCTCGAAGTCCGGATTGCAGTTTCACCAACAATTTTGGAGCTGTTCACTTCAAAGGCTTGGGAAAGCACAACTGAGATTTTCAGACACAACGTAGCGATCGCGACAAAATTCACCTGCAGTGATCTGGTTGCAGGCCGCATTTTCTCTCTCATTGTCCAAGTCTCCGTCGTCTGCTGAATGATAAAGTTCACGATTACTATAGTTTAACAAAGGAGTTGCTAAATGTCATTAACCGAGGTGTCGGCTGTAGTGTCAACTTTTATTTCAAACGTAATGTCGTGTGTCCTTTTTTGTAATGACTTGGTCTTCGGCAACCGCTTCGTTTTTTAACGCTTATCGTCTTTGTGGCCGCAAAACACTCCACTTTTTCCTTTCAGCAGGGCAAATGATACAGCGAAAACTTGAAAAAGCACGAGCTGTTCCGTATAATGTTTTTATATAGACACACGACCACCACACCGGAGCACGTCCTCAGCTTCTATATAGAAGAGAGCGAATCCTGTAACTGAAGGACGTTACTTCAATAGACAAGCGGGATGAGGAAACAGGAGAGCGTAAAACTACACCACACAGGTCACCCTAATGACGAGGTCCAGTCATCGGGGATGATAAGACTACCTCACGCAAGTGACCCGCGCGAAGCAGCATCAGTCACTGTATGCGACCACTCGGCTTCACGCTCATTTAGATTATTTTTAGTCAAATCGACGATTCCACTTCAATTTTTTTTATTTAGAAGTTTTTACCACCGTGTCATGGTAGGTTAAATTACTTGTCACATGAATGTACGCCTCGCTAAATGGATTTTGGCATCCAATATATTCGTCACGGATAATATAATATTGTACCTGAGCAGTAGCGGTGTCCATTCTGAAAATTTTGCTGTGGGATATGTGGACGGCATAATATTTATTCGAATAGATCTTAACTTTCCCTTCTGTTTTCGAGGGATTTTCCCGTCATCCCATGATACTGTAAAACGTATATATACCTGTTCACTAATTCATTCCAGCACCGTAACAAAAGAGGGTGTCCGGTAATCCAAGGTTACTGAAAAACTGGGGCCACACTGTAAAAATCTCGGAAGTTTAAGTTCAGTTCCCTCCCTTGAACAAAAAAACATTTCTTGGTTAAAATTGTCCTCTCTAAGCCTGAAGCGGTTTATCTTCCTTTCACTTCTCATGCATGCTTGGAAAGCGGAAGCACTTGGGGTTCCTCGAGGCATTTGAACCCTCCGACCCATCAGTTACCGGAACCCATCAGCAGGAGCATAAAAGATAACACGCGAGCTCGAGCCTTGAATCGCGCTAATTTAATATTACCTCAGGCAGCATAAAAATGACAGCAGAACTCTTATACTTTGGACATCTTCCCAGTGATTACCTCATCTCATCAGAACATGAATAAAAAATAAGCATCGTTTAAAATCCCACTCGCCTGATTTCCGAAATTAACTAAATAATAATTTTTACTTGATCAAAATGTGCATTCAAATTTTTTGTGTCCCACTTTAAGGAAAAATGCAAATTGCGCACAATTATTTATGACTTTTCTGACAGTTCAGGATTTGGGGGCATGCCAATTATTTTACGCAATAACATTTTTAAAATTATTGAATTAAAATTATTTTCTTGAATATCTACGAAAACACTTGCCTCAGGGCAAGATCTCTCAATCATCATCCCAAAATGATAGAATTCCAATGTCAACGTGGTCTACATTAAATATCGTTTTTAATACTGTATCTAGTTTTACTTCTTCAGAGAAAATCGTGATGCAAGAGAAAAACGAACTAGGAAGTTCTCAAGTACAGAAAATGCCTGAACATAATTTCAACCCAGGAGCAAAATGCTCTTGACACAACTGAACTATTACGAAGCACCTCTTTTTCGCAGCAGAGATTACCTGTTTAAATACTGTATTGCGAGATCGCGGCGATGATCAATTATGACATGCAAGAATACCTTGATGTATTCAAACAACCAGAGCGGCGCACGTCAGGAAATGTTCATTCACCAACAACAACCGCCCTCGCAGGGATATCTGGTCCCACAATCAAGAGGAAACGAAGCCGGACCAAGACAAAACACATAAATTAGACCTCAACTTCACCTAAGCAACTTCGAAGCATTTGCAAATTAAACAAATTAAGGCCCCCGGCAAATGCAAAATACAACTTATTCACATGCCTATGCATAAACCATGCACGAATACCCTACTGCAGAAAAAAGCCACCAAATCCATCCAGTAACGCCTGCGTACGACTGCTGATATCTGGCTCATAGAACTAACAACTCATTCAATATTCTCAAGAATTCCTCGCTAGATGACGCTCGAGATCAGATGGTCACCAATAAAAAAACGAATCGCTCATCGATGATCACAGGACTTGGCACCATATGGACATATGGTGCCAAGTCCTTTTCTTTTTGCTTTTCTACAGAAAAACAAAAAGAAAATATCTCAAGTGTTCCTCCTTCTTTGCTCCTTAATCATTTTCAGACAAACACAGAACGGTCTGTATTTCAATTTACAACCAGGCTAATATATTTTGGAGAGAAAATCCCGAGATAAAAAATTACGGTACGACCAAGTCGAGCAACTCATAATTGCAATTTTGAAAACACAGATACAAATTTAAGCAATACTCTCAATCATGTTTGGAAAAATGCAACTTCTCAAATAATGCACTGATGAAAAACCTTCCTTTGAATCATTGTCTCGATCCTTTTCAGTTTTTCCAAAGAAAAACAAATGCAATTATTTAGACCACCAGATTAAATTCCACAAGCTAAGCTTACTATTCATATTAAACTTCGATTTTCATCTTGAAGGGGTATTGCATCGCTTTCCGTCTTTTCAAAAAATGTGCGCATTTCATGCACGAGTGAAGAAGTTGATACTAAAGCAAGAAAATTATTTTACGTCAGTTTAAAACGTTAGAAATCGTGAAAAATCCTACAGAAAGAAATAAAAAATGCTTTGTCGAGGATTGACCATTTCAAATTTTTCTCGAATTCGACTTGGAAAATGTATTTATTTGACGTGCTTTCCGTCACAGACCAATAATACGTAATTTTCTCCAAATAAATAAGGAGCAAATAAAATGGACTAACATGAAAATAATAACTGCAGCTTCTTACAGGTACTGTCAGGGGTGAAAGCCCTACCTTGCATGCTTCGCCGAAAATACTTCCGACGCAGGAGAGACGAAACTAGAAAATCGAGTCTCCTTCCCCATTGAACAATCGCGGAACTGCGGCAGAAAAATGAAGACCCACTCATAAAATATTGTCTGATCATGGAGCATCGTTCTTTAAAAATTCTGCATAGTTATTGCAGAAGTTCTTTCAACTAAGAAAAAAAAGACACTGGGAAAAACAAACGCAATTCAGAAGTTTTATTTTTATTCTTTTAGCGACGAAGACTTCCGAATATTGACCCAGATAGAATTGAAATTTAACATAGCTTTGTATCCATCAAGCTCGTATCACCCATAAAAACCTTACCGATTTCGCTTCAAGACGCTAAAAATTTCGAAAAATACCAAGTCTTCGTAATCTGTAAACGTACATCGTTTCTGCAGAATTGAATCGGAAAAATAAGCCANTTACAGGTACTGTCAGGGGTGAAAGCCCTACCTTGCATGCTTCGCCGAAAATACTTCCGACGCAGGAGAGACGAAACTAGAAAATCGAGTCTCCTTCCCCATTGAACAATCGCGGAACTGCGGCAGAAAAATGAAGACCCACTCATAAAATATTGTCTGATCATGGAGCATCGTTCTTTAAAAATTCTGCATAGTTATTGCAGAAGTTCTTTCAACTAAGAAAAAAAAGACACTGGGAAAAACAAACGCAATTCAGAAGTTTTATTTTTATTCTTTTAGCGACGAAGACTTCCGAATATTGACCCAGATAGAATTGAAATTTAACATAGCTTTGTATCCATCAAGCTCGTATCACCCATAAAAACCTTACCGATTTCGCTTCAAGACGCTAAAAATTTCGAAAAATACCAAGTCTTCGTAATCTGTAAACGTACATCGTTTCTGCAGAATTGAATCGGAAAAATAAGCCACGGTTGTTGCCGTCTGAATAAAAAAATGCTAGCGCATTTCCGGAGATATCGGGTGCATTCGACGACCCGGAACGGGAAATCACGTCTGATCGTATCATTTGGGTTGCCTCAATAACGCACGCATTTTTTTTTAATTGCATAGAAATGTAAAAAAAATGAACGCTCACAAATTCCACACAGAAGCTGAACTGGAAATAATTTTGAAACCATTTCAAAATAAATTTCCCTCGGGTTCATAGAGATGCACACGTATATCTTCTGGATGTTCACGGTCGTTTCTGTGCAGAATTGGACAGAAACTCGTTACTTTAGCTCGCTATGTTGCAATCCTCCCCCATTTTTCTCGGTTTCTTCTCCCCTTTTCCTTACTGTTCTCATTTCTTCGAAATTCTGGAAAAACGCTCTCGGAACACTTTTCGGTCACTGTGTAACGCAAGATGATTCAAGTACAAAGAAAAACACGAGGGCGTGAACATTTATCAGAATTATAAGAAACGAATAACAATTCTCTTCGGAAGCAAAAAAACTCGTTTTGATGCCAATATTTATCGCAGTTGTCTCCTCTTCCGTAAAACAATCTTTACGATCACAACTACTGTACATTCGAGAATAATTCTAAAAACGATTTTGTCTAAAACAATCGTTTACTGAAGAATTTCGGTAACTTGAAGATCATTGAAGAGAATTCATATGGGATGGACAGAGAACATCAAAAAATTCGTTTTGCTTTACAAGTGTGAAGAGAAAGCCGCGGTAGAAGTGGAATTTTCAAATGATGATGAACTCATAGTAAAACTAGCGTTTATGGAAGGCGGGTCAATGCGTTGAAATTGTGAAAAAATAGTCACAATTTTTTTTTGCGGTACCTTGAATTTCGTTGCAGAGAATTTCTAGTGTAATTGTACTCACATTCACTGCATGACTAGGCAAAATAGCTTTCTCATCCCGAAACCCGCAGTTCCTCATGCTGGCGGAAAAATCCAGGCACATTACTCAACTTGAACAAAAAAATGTAAAGCACTGTCACGAAAAAAATCAGATCAATCAAACGCAATACAAATCGCAGGCTTGCAACGCAAGATACATCTTAAAACCGTACTTTAATTATCATTCGAAAATAGCAAAAGACTTCATTCACAGCTCAAGAGATCGAAAAAAAGCAGGGAAAACCTTTTTTTCCCACTACGCCGTCCAAATCCGAAAAATAAAGAACACAATCGCTTAAAATATTCACAGCTCCCCAAAGGCCACGTGAAAAATACCCATAAAAATTCACAACCGTCTTTGCTCGCGTATTATTGCTTTTAAGATCGTCCGTTGAAATTGTATAGCCAGTTCGGAATTGCCGGAGTTTTATATCTCCAACGCGTTTATCTCTGCCGTTGGAACATCCATTTCGTTCTCGAGGCATCCATTTCTTGCGCGTTGAGGAGAAACTACAGAAAACAAAAACAGAATTGAAAAATAACACGTCTTGTGTCGCTTCATATGGTAGTTGACCGGTAAAACCGGGAACGAACCCTGTTTCAAGTAGGACGTGACAAAACGATTGGTATCAGGTTCTCTTCCACACACGGTTCCCAGCGTCACGTCGAATACGAGTTTTTCTTCAATGCCAGCGATATATACGGTGAACTATGAACACAAATAATTATTAAATCAAGCAATGAATCCAAAAAACTTCCTTTACACAACCAAATCACATCCATATATTAGAAAGAAAAAAAACTTGAATAGAAAATTGACGAAGTTCACAATTTCTATTCACATTCGCAAGAGCGCAGGTAACAGTTCAGAAAACTGTTCTCGGCTAGTACTGTCATTTCCATTCTGAAATATTGAGATACAATACTATAAAAGATAAACTCGGAAAACTGTGACGCGATTCCGCAAATTTTCTTTGAAGGGTAATAATGAAATCATCATTAGGAGGATGAAAAATTAGAATGCATTTATCTTAATAGAATAAATAAAGTAAAACTGACTAGACGAAGTGAAAAAATCAAACGGATGTGTTCATAAAATTCAGGCAGATTCTCTTATTTTCAAGTACCGTACACTAAATTTCGACGTAGAGAATACCTAAAATTGGAAAGAGAACCCCACGGAAAAAAATTTACAGAAAATGACTAGCATCAGAGGCTACGTCCAAGAAATAGATTTACAGAAGAAAAAAAAAACGCTCCTTTAGTCAAAAAGGTGAAAAGAAACTCAGCACAGATGATAGATATGCTGAAAACCCGAGAAATCTGACTTCAAAACAAAAATCTATTCTTGAAGCTAAGTTCATTTGATCTGAACGAGCCTCAATTTGGATTTAATCATTATTACTGTATCATCATTTTAAAGTCATTCACAAATAATAAGTACAAACCTCAACACAATGTTCGGCGCGGAACAAGGAGCACATGGGTCCAAAGTCAGAGGGCGAAATAGTTTTCGGTATGACGAGAGGCACAGAAACCCAAGCATAAGTCATTCCAGGAGCTATTTCCCCACGTTTCACCTTGCAAACGACAGCACGTTCGGATTTCGAGCCACGTCCGTCAGAGTAAATGAGAGTTTGAACCAAAGACGCCGTAGTTTTCTTCACGGCAACGTTGCCACGGTTCAACACGTCCGCAAAAATCATGATGGACTCTCCCAGGACGTACTTTGACATTGGCAGCGTCACTTTCACGCTGATGCATCCGTCGCAGGTCAAATTAATTTTCTTCTCTTTCTTCACAGTTTGCGCCTCCTTATCGAATAAAAAAATATTCTAGTTAACATCAACGACTCCATTGGAGATTAAACTCAGTCTGGGCATGAATGATGAACCAAATAACCTTACTCAAATCAACCCCAACAGACTGAAATCCAACTTTAGCCGGCATAGACTCACCAAAAGCATTTGATGAACATTGCAAACGGGAGAGAACGAAATCACTGTCAAAGAATCGATGCTGTTCTTGTCCATGCTTCCCAACGACGTAAGGTTGCAGCGTCAGTCATGTATGAACTACCTAGGTATTACTGGGGCTTTTCAGCCGCCTTCTAGAAGCCCATTGCAATAGGGTTTACGCATTGGGAACGGTCTCTGGTCCGGTTTGCCCCCATCGTCTAAATTTAGAACACTATTAATTGTGGCTCACAATTACGGAAAATCGTCTTCATATTCCAATCATAATTCCTTCGATTACATTTTGTGAACAACGAAGGGAGAAAAAACTAGCAAAGAAATCTTGCAGCGGACGGCCTTCGATGCATAATAGAGAACAAAACACAGAAGAGATCCCTCATATAGTAGCACGCTTTTTTTTTAAATTCAGCAATTTTCGAAAGACACATTTTTCTCGCCTGTTTTAACTCTTTTAAGAATGCGAAAAGAAGGAACTTGAGAACTGCAAACCAATTTTCTTTGAAGGACACGTGACATCTGTTTCAACATCATCTCAGGGAATCAAAACCATTCCGAAAATTCAAGAATAAAGCCATGTATTGGCACTCAAAAATATGTTTCTCGAAATTTTCGGTTTTATTTTCATTCTAATTTTTATTCATCATGACTGCTTAAGCGCAAAAACTTGACTAAATCCTTCGAACAGTGCGAATGAAAAAGGAATTTAAATACAGTATAAGTGTAAATAAATCATGACTCACAAGTCCAAAGAGTTTGTTTCAAGTTGATATACTCTTCACAGCTTCCATGATGCGCTGATTCGCCATCTCCCCACGAAGTTTCTCCACGGCCGAGAAGCCTCAGTGTAAGCGCTTTACACGGGATCACTTTGTGCACAATTACCGAACCCGTTAACGTTTTTCCCGCGAACACGACCGTACTTCCATTGAGCTTAATATTTAGGGCGACCATGTTTCACTCCTGATAAACGTTTGACTCCGTATCAAAAGAGCTGCGAAGAGGAAATCACGGAATGAGGTCTCAGAAAATGCTCTCAGTGTAAAGTTCACAGAAAACGAAACGTGCAGGGAACACGAGTAATTTCCTTTGATCACACAAGGAATCACTGATACAATATCACAAGGATGCTAAAAGCTATGAATCACAACGCTGACAGGAAAAAAATCACACAAATAGTAACGCGAGTTGAACACATTGCCACATGTACCGACTATTGCTTTCCTACTGGAACTTTCTTCACATGTACGGGGTAACCAAAAAATGTCGCAGAGGACTAATCAGAATTGAGGATTTACATTAAAATTTTTGCTTGACAAAAAGCTTAGCTTTTGAAACGAATTCCTCAAAGAAGAAGGAATACAATGACTATTTCAAATCCTCGAGAAATATTCCATGTAAACATATAAACCCTTTGCTATTACTGCAACTATCCTCGTGAAACTCCAGTAAATGCTCAAAATAATTCCGGGCTAGATCAAAATCGAAATTCTGACTGCGAGTGACATCTAGACACATAAGAACAATCCGCCATTGAATAGGACAGATTAGATGACGAAATCAGTCGGTGAGTTCCTCACTGCTCAACTTGATGAATATTTCAGTTTCTAGGACACACACAACATGAAAAATACATAGACTGTATGAAGTAATGAACTGAAGGCACTTCATCGTAGCTCGAACATATGCCGTCGAACGAACACCTCTAAAGTCTAATCAGATCAAAAAAGGTTTCTATTAACCCAAAAAATTTGATTCTCATCACAATTTCGTCTATCGAAGGAAGATAATTTTGAACAAGACACTGTACCGTGCTCCAGCAGGGTAAACAAATCACAA